ATTCGAACCCGCCACCTTAGGTGTATGTGGCTGGCGCCTTAGCCACTTGAGCCATAGGCGCCGAGCCAACATAATAGTTTTGATGTACAAAAATTGATCTTGAATATTTTTTGAAAAGTAACAAATGAAATTTTTACCTTAAAACAGTTTTTGTGGCTCACAAAATTTGTACTTAATACTTGTTTAACTTCTTATCATCATATTTACCTACTAAACTCTCAACAAAGCAAAAATAACATACTTTTAAAAACATTCCTTTACATTGAAGAACCCAAAATACTTTAAAGATTCACAAGTCTACGCCTCTCTGACTGTGAAGGAATGCTCCTAAAAGAGCTTCACCAGTAGGACAAAGAATATTGGTAACATTGTAAATTTTATTAATGGATAAAAGTTACATTTATGTTAAATGAATTTCTTTTCTTCTTTCTTAAGGAGTTGAATGACTTGGCACGGGATCCCCCAGCACAGTGTTCTGCAGGTCCTGTTGGAGATGATAGTAAGTATTTCAAAGGAATAGTGAAATAAAACAGCACAACAGCCTGTCTCTGGGGAACTCTGAGACAGATAAATATGTATCTGTTAAGGTTATTTTGGGTGAATAGATAATTATAGTATAAGGAAAAAGCAGTGTTTAGTTGCCTGTGGGAAAAAAACAGCTATGTCCATCTCATCATCTTATTGTATTCATTACATTTTTAACAGCTTCTGCCAGGCATTGTCTGTATTGTTTATTCTGGTTCCTTCCTCACTATCCTTCATCTCTTCTGGGTATTTTCCCAGAGCAAATTATTTAGCTTCTTTATACAACTGGCTGTTGTTCTTTGAGAAAGAGAACTAAGACTAAGGATGATTGGTGAGAGGGGATGTCTTTGCCTGGCTCATAATTATGAAAGCAGATATAATTTATTTTTAATGTCAAATTTATCTGCTTAATCCTATAATCTATGACATAAACTGGATCATAATTTTCCTTTTGTTCTACTTCATCCTGACATAGCTTCCCCCCACTGTGTCTTTTAAACATTTTTATTTTTATTTTTTTTAATTTTAATTTTTATTTTTTTGAGACAGAGCCTGAAGCTGTTCCCCCTGGGTAGAGTGCTGTGGCATCATAGCTCACAGCAACCTCCAATTCCTGGGCTCAAGCGAGTCTCCTGCCTCAGCCTCCCAAGTAGCTGGGACCATAGGTGCCCGCCACAATGCCTGGCTATTTTTTGGTTGTAGCCGTCATTGTTGTTTTGGCAGGCCCAGGCTGGATTTGAACCCTCCACCTTAGGTGTATGTGGCTGGCACTTGAGCCACAGGCACCGAGCCTAAACATTTTAAAAAATTAATTTATTATTATATACATTTTCATAGAGATGAGGTCTTGCCCTGTTGCCCAGGCTGGAGTACAGTGGTGCAGTCATAGCTCACTGCACCTCGAACTCTTGGGTTCATGCCTCAGCCTCCCAAGTGGCTAGACAATAGATGTGCATCACCACACCCACCTAATTTTTTTATTTTGGACAGGATCTGGCTTATGTTACCCAGTATGGTATTGAACTCCCAGCGTCAAAGGGTTCTTTCTGGCTCGGTGTCTATAGCTCAGCAGCTAGGGTGCCAGCCACATACACCAGAGCTAGCGCATTCAAACCCAGCCAAACAACAACGACAAATACAACAACAAAAAAAAATTGCTGGGCATTGTGGCGGGCACCTGTAGTCCCAGCTACTTGGGAGGCTGAGGCAAGAGAATTGCTTAAGCCTAAGAGTTGGAGGTTGCTGTGAGCTGTGACTCCACAGCACTCTACCAAGGGCAACATAGTGAAACTCTGTCTCAAAAAAAAAAAAAAAGGATCCTCCCACCATGGCCTCTCAAAGTGCTAAGATTATAGGTGAGAGCCACCACACCTGGCCTCTGTAGGGTCTTTTATTAACCTTTTTAAAAGAGATGATATTTGGTGGCACCTATAGCTCATTGGGTAGGACGCCAGCCGCATACACCGAGGCTGGTGGGTTCAAACTCAGCTTGGGCCAGCTAAAACAACAATGACAACTGCAACAAAAAAATAGCCGAGTGTTGTGGCTGGTGGGTGTCTGTAGTCCCAGCTACTTAGGAAGCTGAGCCAAGAGAATCACTTGAGCCCAAGAGTTTGAGGTTGCCGTGAGCTATGACCACAAGGCACTCTACCAAGGGTAATAGGGTGAGACTCTGTCTCAAAAAAAAAAGAAAGATGATATTTGAATGAGACTGTGCTTTATGATATAAAACTAATTTACAAAAAATAGTAGTGTTTACTAAAGTTTTTTGGGTTTTTTTATTTTGCAGGTTTTTTTTGGTCAGGGCTGGGTTTGAACCTGCCATCTGCAGCATATGGAGCTGGCTCCCTACTCCTTTGAGCCACAGGTGCTGCCCTGCAAAGTTTTTAAAAACGAGCATACTTGGAAACATTTGTGTAGAAAAAGTATATAGGTTAAGACCAAAATGAGTGGCTCGGCGCCTGTGGCTCAAGTGGCTAAGGCGCCAGCC